GTACAGTTTTATATTTGGACTATTTATTCTAAAGAAAAATGTAATGCTTTAAGGGGGCGTGGTTGGGGGCAGACCTGGGCAAGGTTGGGTGGGGCAACTGGTGGAGAGTACGTTTTGTGAACGGCTGGTAGGTCTGGACTCGAAATTTTAATATACACATACATACATATTTTTTTTTTATTTTTTTTTTTAAATTGTTCATTTGCTTCCGTAATTTTAATTTTATTAACTTATCGCTATATTTATTGCATAACTTTTGTATCACTTTCACTTGAAAGCCAACCATATGCTATACAAATCTACACACATGCACAGCCAGTAATGCAGCCTGGAGTGTGCTTAAAGTGGAACTTCACTCTCTTAATCAACATTGACTATTTTTAATCCTTATGCTGCTAGCATTGGTAAATCGAAAAGAAATTATATCATATTTATCTGTTTTAACCTTTTTTTTTTTTAAATTTCTTTGTTTAGATTTTTGCTGAGTCAGGATTGTCGATCACCTTATACAAGTTAATGGGAATGCTGACCACCTTCTAACCTGCGTCAATCAGCACTCGCCCTTAGGCCTCACTTACATGCATGGTAGAGTTTACCCTCTAAAGTCCCAATCACTTGAGTGGGTCACATTTGGGGGTGGTTCTGCCCCAAAATGTATAGATTTTACTGCATCACAACAGCAGCCATGTGTACTAATATAACCACTAGCCATGATAGCTTGCTGGTCAGGGGATGGTAAAAGCATTGATCGAGCACCTTTTTTTTTTTTTTTTTTTACCTCTGCACATGTGAACCAAGCCTTAGTCTAACAGAATTCTTCTGCTTCACACAACCCATGAGTGTTTTAGCTTGTCTCATCTTTTATCAATTAAAATGTTATATTATTTTACTATTAAGAAAAAAAACAAAAACAAATCAGGAATTCCAGTCTTAGTTGTTAAACCAGGACTTTTAGTTTTACAGTTGTAAAAAGGGATGCTAGCGTGGTGGTACTATATGCAGTAGTAAGTGGCAAGTGTGTACTGTTACTGATAGGTGGGGTACATGTCGTGGGCCAGTTCAGAGACCATTAATCAAGATGGCAGACAACAGTGTTAGTGCGTGCATGGAACAGCGTTTGGTGATGAAGTTTATTGTGAGCGAAGGCATAAAACCCAAGATATCTACAGAAGACTTCAAGCACAGTATGGTGGTGAGATGCTTAGCTGCAGTAAGACATTTGAATGGTGTAAATGTTTTCAAATATGGCCGTGCATCCATCGTTGACAGTTCCGGCCATGGTGGTTCCCAGCCCACAGCACTCATCCCTGTGAACATTCACTCCGGAATCAAAATGAGCATCAAAGCAATGGAAGCATGCGGACTCACCACCACCAAAAAAAGTTTGAACAATTGCATCTGGAGGTGATGGCAAGCATTTTCTGGGACAAACGTGGCATTATTCATGTGGATTTTCTACCCTGTGGTTCCACTATCAACAGTGAATATTACTGTCATGTTTTAAATGATGTGCATTTGCATCTGCATAAATAAATCGCCTGGTTTGATCACTAAGGGTGTCCTGTTTCTTCAGGAAAACGCACAAGTTCATTCTGCTTACAGCACAACATGCACATTACAGCAACTTGGCTGGGAGGTATTGCCACATCCCCCTTACAGCCCGGACCTAGCTCTGAGTGATTCCCACCTGTTTGGACCCTTAAGAGTTCCCTCAGAGGTTAGCATTTCAGCACAGACGACAATGTGAAGCAGGCTGTCCTAGGATATATATAAAAGTAAATAAATCTACACACCCCTTTTTCCACCTTTAATGTAACCTATAAACTGTACAACTCAGTTGAACAGCAAACTAAAATCTTTTAGGTAGAGGGAAGTAAAAATAAAAAACTAAAATAATATGGTTGCATAAGTGTGCACACCCTTAAACTAATACTTTGTTGAAGCATCTTTTGATTTGATTCCAGCACTCAGTATTATTGGGTATGAGTCTATCAGCATGGCACATCTTGACTTGGCAATATTTGCCCACTCTCCCTTACAAATACACTCCAAATCTGTCAGACTGTGAGGGCATCTCTTGTGCACAGGCCTCTTCAGATCACCCCACAGATTTTCGATCAGATTCAGGTCTGGGCCATTTCAAAACTTTAATCTTCTGGTGAAGCCATTCCTTTGTTGATTGGATGTATGCTTTGAGTCGTCATGAATCCCTTTTCATGCTCAAAAAAATATATATACGCGCAGCGCTAAAGTGGATTTACGTAAATAACTGTAAAATCTCCAGGATATATAAAGTGCTTAATGATATCCAAATAAAGTGCTAATTATCCGGAAGAAATGCTTGATATAATATATCATAAGTAATAATAGTATATAATCAAAGTAATGAATAAATGGTTATGAATGTCCAAATAAAGGAATTAAGATAAAAGTTCCAAGAAATATCAGTAATCTGGATACAAGTAAATCTTGTTATCCCAGTGGTATGCAATCAAATATTCCGGTGACATGTGGGGTATGGTAAAAAAAGCACACTTACCAGATGCGCATTTTAAATGCGCAGTATGTTAATATGTGGTAATCAGCCAGAGGTCCCCTCTGTGGTGGGATGGAATACAGCCTGGAATGGATAACCCTCCTCTTGAGTCTGGAGTGGTAAGAAGTTAGCCAGCGGTCCCCTTTAAGGTAGGATGGAATATGGGCTGATGCGGATCTCCCTCCTCTGGACACTGGGATGGTCACCTGGGTTCCTGAGAATTAAATGCTCGGTGCAGAGCAAAAAAGAATGGTGCACATAGTGTAGTAATTTGGGGTTTATAAAAGGTTTTATTGTTCAGAGATTAAAATCCAAATCATCCGTATGAGTAGGAGTACATGCAGCTTAAAGCTGCTTAATGCACTGACCAGCTGGTAGGCAAAGATGGCCGCCGGACCTCTGTGATCCGGAGCGTGACTCCTCCTTAATGCGTTTCGTACCACGTACGTTGTTTGGGAGATCCGCATCAGGCCATATTCCATCCTACCTTAAAAGGGGACCTCTGGCTGACTTCTTACCACTGGGATAACAAGATTTACTTGTATCCAGATTACTGATATTTCTTGGAACTTTTATTTATCTTAATTCCTTTATTTGGACATTCATAACCATTTATTCATTACTTTGATTATCTACCATTATTACTTATGATCTTATATCAAGCATTTCTTCCGGATAATTAGCACTTTATTTGGATATCCTTAAGCACTTTATATATCCTGGAGATTATACAGTTATTTACGTAAATCCACTTTAGCACTGCACGTATATATATTTGTCATTTAGAAGGTATACCGTTTCCTTTTTTAGTGTACTAGCTGCTTTTATTATTAAGCGCTCGCCGAGTTCCATTTTATCCTCTTCATGTTCAGCTTTCTAGCAGAAGCCTGAAGGTTTTGTGCCGATATTGATGGTATTTGGAACTGTTCATAATTCCCTCTACCTTGACTAAGGTCCCAGCTCCAGCTGAAGAAAAACAGCTCCAAAGCATAATGCTGCCACCACCATGCTTCACTGTGGGTATGGTGTTCTTTTGGTGATGTGCAGTGTTGTTTTTGCGCCAAACATATCTTTTGGAATTATGGCCAAAAAGTTCAACCTTGATTTCATCAGACCATAAAACATTTTCCCACATGCTTTTGGGAGACTTCAGATGTGTTTTTGCAAAATTTAGCCGGGGTTGGATGTTTTTTCTGTGTAAGAAAAGGCTTCCATCTTGCCACTTTGCCCCATAGTCCAGACATATGAAGAATACGGGAGATTGTTGTGACATGTACCACACAGCCAGTACTTGCCAGATATTCCTGCAGCTCCTTTAATGTTACTGTAGGCCTCTTGGCAGCCTCCCAGACCAGTTTTCTGCTCGTCTTTTCATCGATTTTAGAGGGACGTCCAGTTCTTGGTAATGTGAGACTGTTGCGGCATATTTTCTCCACTTGATGATGACTGTCTTCACTGTGTTCCATGGTATGTCTAATGCCTTGGAAATTCTTTTGTACCCTTCTCCTGACAATGAGATCCCTCTGATGCTTTTGAAGCTCTCTGTGGACCATGGCTTTTGCTGTAGGATGCGACTAAGAAAATGTCAGGAAAGTCCTACTAGAACAACTGAACTTTATTTAAGGTTATTCAGAAGCACTTTAAATGATGGCAGCTGTGTACTGACTCCTATTTAACATGATTTTGAATGAGATTGCTTAATTCTGAACACAGCTACAGCCCCAGTTATAAGAGGGTGTGCACACCTATGCAGCCACATTATTTTAGTTTTTTTATGTTTACATCACCCCCCCCCCCCCCCTTTAAAAAAAAAAAAAAAAGATTTCAGTTTGTTTTTCAATTGAGTTGTACAGTTTACAGGTCATATTTAAAAGGTGGAAAAAGTTCTGAAATGATTTATCCGTGTCTTATTTTTTTACATCCCAGAAACATGACAGGGGTGTGTAGACTTTTTATATTGTGTATATTATATTTCTATCTATATATCTATCTCCATATCCCGATTGTTCTATTGATCCATTCCTTTAGAATTCTTTTATCTATAGTATCCCCAACATTTGGCAAGCCCCTGTGGCTCAAGGAGCTTGCCTAATAACCAAGCTAACACATCAATTTTTTTATCTCCTTCACTCTCAACCTAACTGGCAAATAAGTCTGGACAAGTAATGGCTTTTCTTTGGAGAAGCTTTTAACTGCTAGCACATACCAGGCAGCTATACAGCAAATATGAATACTATCATGCTTCCAATATAGGGACAATAATAAAATATACTATGCAACTGTAGTTTACAGTTGTAGCTCAACTATACTGTATATACACTTTAGATGGCAACAACAACAGCCTATTAAAATTTGAGAAGACTATCATCTTGGCTAATTTTAGAACAATGATCTTGCATATTCCAAATGGTTTTAATTTCATTGGCATTTTCAGTGAGTTAAAATACCACTTATAGGAGAGTACCTGTTTTTTTGGCAGATGTTGGCAGGCTGTTGCCTCCAGAATTGACTGTAGGGCTGCCTGTACCCCCAGGCCCAGGGGATCCAGTTTTCTTGCTTAGTAAGCTGTTAAAGAAATTAGCAAGCACTCCTTCACTTGTTGTTCCAGCTGTGATGAGAAAAGAAAATAACTGGTTAATGCAGGCATTTTACTTCCCAAATACTTAAAGCACTGGCTAACTGATAAGATACCTTTCATGTTGGGATCAATTTTCTTTGTGCCAGCAGGGACAGGCGACACACTGGTAACATTAGATGATCCTGATCTGCTGGGTGTCCTTGGAGACCCACCAGGAACTCTTGGAGATGCATCCTAAGCAAAATGATACTTGAGAATTGACATGACAGAAAATAGTTTTGCTCAGCATATTTAAAGACATAGTGCTGAGGAAGCTGTGGGTAATATAAATGAAATACAATAAAGGCATTTAGTATCTAACAAGGAACCTGACTGAAAATGCTTGTGCAAAAGAACTGAAATGGATGGATAGATAAATACAAAAAAAATAGGATGCTAGTCTCATATTATCCACTTGCCCTCCTGAGGATTTACCCCCCTTCCTGACCAGGCCTTTTTTTTTTGCTATTCAGTGCTGCACTATTTCAACTTGTAATTGCATGGTCATGCAATGCTGTACCCAAACAAAATTTCGTCCTTTTTTTCACACAAATAGAGCTTTCTTTCGGTGGTATTTGAGCACCTTTGCTTTTTATTTTTTGTACTATGAACAAAAAAATGACCGAAAATTTAGAAAAAAAACACAAAACTACTTTTTACTTTCAGCTATAAACAAAATATATATTAAACTCAAAGTTAGTCATAAATTTAGGCCAAAATTTATTCTGCTACATGTCTTTGGTAAAAAAAAATCCCAATAAGTGTATATTGATTGCTTTGTGTGAAAGTTATAGCATCTACAAACTATGGTATAGATACTGCAATTTACGACATTTTTTGCTATACAGCGCTGCACTAGTTTAACTGACAATTGCACGGTCATGCAATACTGTACGTAAATGAAATTTATGTCTGCCACAATATAGGTGCTCTGCCAGCCCCAATTATTAATTTCTTCCTTAATCCCATTCTTAATTCCTTGTGCCCAAATGAAGTACATCTTTAATTCCTTACGTTCTTGCGCCAAATGTTCCCAACTTCAATCAATGCATTTCCCCCCTGTCATCCTGCCAAATGTTCCCAAATTCAATTAATGCCTTTCCTTCCCTGCAATAATGCATTCCAACCCAAACTTCGTTAGACAATTTCCTCTCTGTGTGTGTGTATTCTAGCCCAAACTTCGTTAACATTTTCCTCTCTCGTTTGTTAACGAAGTTTGGACTAGAATACACAAACGACAGAGGAAATTGTTAACGAAGTTTGGGCTAGAATACACAATTTCCTCTCTGTCATTTGTGCATTCTAGCCCAAACTTCATTAGCCACTTCCCCCCCTTACAGGATGACCGGCCCCCTGCTGTCTCTCGTCCTGCCTCGGCTCTTTGAAGCCGAGCCTCATTGCCGAGCAATGAGGCACGCCGCCCACGGCCCGCCCTGGTTGCCAGGGCGACCGGGAAGCGTCCTACACCGGTTTAAGAGGCCAGTGCTGAGCTCTCCCCGTTCATTCTCTTCTGCTGCGCAGCCATCGAGGGAGCCCAGCTGCGGTGGGACCCTCGTGGCTAAACTCTGCCTGAGACCCCAGCCAGAGGGGAGACCGCACGCCAGCCCTGCCTGAGACCCCAGACAGAGGGGAGACCGCACGGATACTCCGGCAGGTACCTGTGTCATACTATCTTGTCCCCTGGGAGACCGGGCACCCTGTTGGATCCATGAGTACATGCTTCCCTGTTTTGCCTGATCTGTTCTTGAACTGTTCCTCTGCCTCACTGTTGGATTACAAACTGTCTGCAGAAACCTTAACTTGCCCTTGGGGACTAGACTACAAGTGTTTTGGCTCCCTCCTTACTATTTCCCCTACTGGCAAGGTCACCCTCCCTGCAATCCCTCCATTGAGTGACTGTCATTTTATCTCAATAAAGCTTTGTGTGTTTGCCATCCGCTTTGTGTGTTCTGTCCTGCCTACCCTCCGTCACAATGTCATTTTAAATCACACAAATAGAGCTTTCTTTCGGTGGTATTTGATCATCTGTGCGCTTTTTATTTTTCACACTATATACAAAAAAAACCCAAAAAATTTAAAACAAAAACGATATTTTCTCATTTTGGTCATAAAAAATATCCAGAAAAACTCAAATTTCATCATAAATTTAGGCCAAAATGTATTCTGCTACATTTTTTTGGTAAAAAAAAAAAATCCCAATAAGTGTATATTGATTGCTTTGTGTGAATGTTATAGCATCTACAAACTATGGTATACATAATGGGATTTACACAGCTTTTACTTTTTGACTGCTTATCACATTTCTTTAGGTGCTAAAATACCAGGACAGTAAACACGCCCAAATTAACCCTTTTTGGAAAGTAGACACCCTAAGCTATCTGCTGAGAGTTCATGGAAGATTAATTTTTTTCCCCACACGTTTTTGGAAAATGACACAAACTTTTTTTTTTTTTTTTTTTACACATAAACATTGTCACTTATATGATACATTGTTCACACAAGCCATGGGTATATGTGGAATTACACCCCAAAATACATTCTGCTACTTCAACCGAGTATGGGATACCACATGTGTGAGACTTTTTGGGAGCCTAGCCACATACAAAAGCCTGAAATTTATTTTTTTTACCACAAGTTTTTGGAAAATAACAAAATTTATATATATATATTCTTCTATTGACTCAACATGCCTCTCAGCAAATAGTTAGGGGTGTTTACTTTACAAAAAGGGGTCGTTTTGGGGGGTGGGGGCATTTTATGCCCAGCATTAGAAGTTTATGCCACACATCACTCACTCATTCTTCTAACCACCTGAAGACCAAGTCTTTTCTGACACTTTTGTTCACATGAAAACAAAAAAAAAAAAATATCAGAACTTTTTGCTAGGAAATTACTAGGAACCCCCAAACATTATATATTTTTTTTAAAGCAGACACCCTAGTGAATACAATGGTGAGTGCTGCAATTTTTTATGTTACATAGTACTCGCACAGCGATTTTTCAAACAGATTTCTTGAAAAAAAAAAAGCACTTTTTATGCACAAAAACACAATATATTGGCCAATTATTTGGTGAAATATAAAAGATTATGGTACGCCGAGTAAATAGATACCAAACATGCGCATAACCCATGCAATGGCAACAAACTGCATACATTTTTAATATCCATAGGCAACTCTTTAAAAGCCTTTACAAGCTACCATTTTAGATTTACAGAGGAGGTCTAGGGCTAAAATGATGGCCCTTGATCTGACATTTGCAGCGATACCTCACATGCATGGTGCAACTGCTGTTTACATACTGGCACAGGGTCAACGCTCATGCACACAGGTGCGCGAGGTTGGCTTAAGTTATTTTGACAAGGTCAATTTTTTTAAAATAACTTTTAATGCAATCACAGGGAATGCAAATATTCCCTATAACTTCAATGGGCAAGGTCATATATTCTTTTTTGAGAAATCTGGGGTCTATCAGACTCTAGATATCTCCTCTGCCCTGACATTATCTAGATCGGTGTGATCAGATGCTTTCCCAATTTACAAATGGCGCTGTTTATAGCCTGCGAAACTGAGGTGACAAAATGCTCGTAGCTTCCGATTTCTTAGACTATAGAGATATTTGGCACCATTCTGGTCTCCAATCAGATCTATGGTCAGCTGGCAGAAACACGGCTGCATTCTCAGGTTCTCCAGATGGCACAGGACTGCCCGAGAAGGCCGTGGAAGGCAGTGGGGAAGAGGGGGGGGCCATCTTCTCCTGCTGCATGTAAAAGCAATCCTGCAGCTAATTAGCCACTAGGATTGCTTTTACGTGAAAGCCGCTCACCGGCTGAAAAAAACTATACCAGAATGGTGCCTGCAGCTGAACGTTGGTATAGCGCTGATCTGATCAAAGATATTGATCCGTTTAGACACTATACTAGCAATGGAGGTTTACTGTGTATGTGAGCATGTTCCTAGCAATCAAGGGGTTCAATGTGATTACTGGTGGGCAATCTGATGCTATCTGGGAGGGGCGCGAAAACCGCGGGGAGCGCGAATCACGTATGTATACACACACGATTTTGCGCACCCGTGCCGCCTTATAGCAGTATTTCTACTATAGGGCGGCATGGAAGCAGTTATACATGTCTTTGCTAAAAAAAAATCCCAATATGTGTAAATGAATTGGTTTACGTGAAAGTTAGAGCGTTTACAAATGGCAGTATAGATGCTGGAATTTTTTTTTTTCTACTAATAATGGCAACGATCAGCGACTTATAGCGGGACTGCGGCGGGCATTCTGATACTGGGGGGAACGGATTTGGTGTCATTGACATCCACAATGACACAAATACAGTTATCAGTGCTTAAAAAAAAAAAAAAAAAAAAAAAAAAAAAAAGCATTGACACTGTACTAATGGCACTGGGCAGGAAGGGGTTAACATGAGGGGTGATCAAAGTGTTAACTGTGTTCTGGGAGTGTTTTACTAGGGGACAGGGGGTGTGTTTGTCACTGTAAGCACACTGCTCTGGATGGCTGTGCACAGCCATCCAGAGCAGTGTGCCCGAGCCGACAGGGAGGAGGACTGTTAGTAAACAAAGTAGCCCTCCATCTCGTCGGTGATCCTTCCCGGGACCCGGTGATTGACAGCCATGGCCGTGAATGCCGGGGCGCGCGCGCGCGCCCCTGCCCAGAAATGTAAAATCACATATATGTGATTTTGCGCACCCGTGCCGCCCGGTAGCAGTATTTCTGCTATAGGGCGGTCAGGAAGCAGTTAAAATGCCATACCATTTATTTTTTTTTTTTTTGCATTTTAACACTAGCATAGAAGATGTTGTAATGATTTCAAGCAGCATTCTAATTTGTGTAATCAGGGGTCTTTTATAGTGAACCAGTGTGTCATCCTCTCTGTACAGAACTGAAAGACGCTTTGGTACCATACAAATAAAAATTACTGGAGCCAGCACCTTGGTGAATACCTGAGGTGCAGACAAGAAGCCGAAGGGCAGGTCCACAAATCGATATTGCAAGGAACTCACAGCAAAGCATAGGAATTGCTAATTCACAGCAAAGATGGGGACATGGAAGTAAGCATGCTTGATGTCCACCAAAGCAAGAAAGTCTCGCTGGTAAAGGGAGGAGAGTACAGATTTGGCAGATATCATGCAGAATTTTTGGACCCAAATAAAGACATTTAGAGCGCTTAGATCCAGGATGTGGCAGATGTCCCCTTTGGGTTTGCAAATGTCTTGCCACAGGACTGAGGCAATGATACCTTGATCCATAAAAACATAGATGCCTCGGTGGAGATCTGCTAATCTGTGCATTCACACAGGACAGGAAGGTTGAAAGTGAGAAACGAAGGGTAGGGCAGAGTATGCAACTCCAGTTTGTAGTCCTGGGGTACCACCCCCTGCATCGAAGTGTCTAAGATGCAAACTGTCTAAACATCTGAGGATATGGCAGACTTCGAGTGGCAGACCTTGCGTGTGGAATAATAGCCAAGCTGGGAGGGGGTCTCAACATGGAGGTTGAGGGAGTGGAGAAACAAAAAGGGACAGTTCATAACGGGTAAAGGGGAGATTACTTTTCAGTCGGTTCCTTTTGCTGAAGAAGAGGGGTGTTTTTGCCCACCAATAGCATTCTTGAGAATATTAGCATAAGCTTGTTAAAGAGCCAAGGTACCCCAAAATCCAGGCAAACGAAACATCTTACACAAAGGTTCCGCAGTCCAGCACTTCAGGCAAGATGAGCTAAAGATATGTACTGGCGTGAGACACCCACAGAAAGTGACACAAGAAGCTTCCAGCAAACCGCCACAACTAAAATTTTTAATCCCACGTGTGCTTCATGCATGTAATAAGCAAGGGCCAACAGAGGTAGCAGTTAGACCTCTTTGAAGGGTTTTGGACCAATACATGATTTGATAAGGTAAACTCACAGCTAGGATCAGGTGAAAAACAGGACCCAAAAGAAAAGGGCTCCAGAAGGGGCTTCAAACTGCTTATCAGTTGAGTCCTTTAGGACAGTATATCATCCAGTGGTATAGTAAGCATCATATTAATACAGGAAAGAGCTTAATATATGGTGTGAATGGATCCCTTTTGCACAAAATCCTCACCAAAACAGACACAAAAATAATAAGCACTTGGGGGGAATAACTAACTGGGGTGTTGCTAATCGCTATAGAGGAATAATTGGAAAGGTGTGGGAAAGGGGCTTTGAGGCTTTAGGAGTTTTAAACAACCCAAGGTTGGAGACAGCATTGGTAGAAAAAACAGGCTGATCCTCTAGTTTCAGAGTGGTATTCACTGCATCAAGGGAATGTATGGTGGGAAAAAGGGTGCAGAGCAAGCTCACAGGGAAGACATCACCACCCTAGACTTAACCTCTTCTGCTGCAAAAAATGGGAAGGTATAGAGAATTTTTACGTAGGTCACAAGGGCAACTTGTGACCTACGTAAAGGGAGATTGCTCCGAATGTTTGTCCCGACTGATCCACTTGCCAAGTGGGTCTTCAAGGGCAATGTGTTGAGGCAATGCCAGTGACTCTGGACCTGGAAAACATTCCTAGCTAGATTTTACCAGAAGAAAGTCTGGAAAGCGCTCTAAGTGGAAACCTAATGGCCAAAAGGTGACAAAGCTCCAGCAGTGCTGTAGAGAAGAGTCTGGTTACAGTTTGCTAGTGTCAAATCCTCTTATAGGTGGCAGAAGTGTAAAGGCTTCCAGTGTCCCTCAATGGACCAAAAAGATTAAACATTCCCAAAGCCAAATTTCCAACAAATGTAATTTAAGAAGTCAAAGTTCCCTCAACAACAATGTCAGAATTTGCCAATAAACTCAGAACTAATATTGATAACTCAGTCTGTGAATGGCTGAAAACTAGATACCACCCACAAAATTAAAGTGTCATACAAGGCAATTATGGGGAAACATTTGCTGCACTGAAATGTACATGGGGAAGGTTGCATCTGCTTCCTCTGGAACCCAAAAGTGTAAACTATGCATTATAACCTTTTTTGCAAGCAAACAAGAGCTTTATTTTAAATAAAATAATAAAAATTTAAAGAGATTGGTCATGGCAGGCAGCCCATAAAATCTAAAATAAAAAAACAAAAAAATAGGAAATGTTGTGTAACATTCCAACTTGGCAAACAAACGTCACATCACACAATGAATATGCTTGCAGAAAATGTACCATAATATAAAGAAAATAAACTTACTGGTCGTCCTGCTGAAGATGGTGGTTGTTTTGCCAACTGTGACTGCAAGAAAAAAAAAAATTTATATAAAAATGCGTATTAGCATTGATCAACAAAAAAATTGACTCTGCTTTATTATGCAAATGGCATAGTTGAGTATGCTTACTTGCTGCTTCATAAGGAACACCTGATCATCTTCTGCTACAATCTCTTTCTCATGCACAAACTGTGAACAAGCATAATACAAAAATGAGATACAGGGAAACAGACTTATTAATTTATAAATTACTCCACTTTCCTAAACCGTGTATGTCTGGGTGGCATGGTAAGCCAAGACACCAGCTAAAATCTATCAGTAATTAGAAAGCAACCCTGCCTCTTGTCAGTGCAAATTAATATCAGCTGGTTCAGTCTCAACTACTGACCTATAAAAATGTGTCATTACCAAGGTGTCACACAACACACATCTAATGATGGGTAAAAGCAAAGAGCTCTCTCTCAAGACCTTTGCATCCTTATTTCTGCAAAACATACTGATGGGCCTGGTTTGCAGTCTCTGCTCTAATTCATCCCAAAGGTGTTCTATCGGGTTGAGGTAAGGACTCTGTGCAGGCCAGTGAAGTTCCTCCACCTCAAACTCACTCATCCATGTCTTTATGGACCTTGCTTTGTGCACACTAGTGCGCAGTCATGTTAGAACAGGAAGCGGCAATCCCGAAATCTCCCACAAAGTTGGGAGCATGAAATTGTCCAAAATGTCTTGGTATGCCGACGCCTTAAGAGTTCCCTTCACTGGAACTAACAACAACACCGCACCATAATCCCCCCTCTACCAAACCTTAAACTTGGCACAATGCACTCAGGCAAGTACCGTTTTCCGAGCAACCGCCAAACCCAAACACGTCCATCAGATTACCAGACAGAGAAGCGTAATTCGTCACTCTAGAGAACATGTCTCCACTGCTTTAGAGTCCAGTGGTGGAGTGCTTTACACCACTGCATCTGACGCTTTACATTGCACTTGGTGATGTAAGGCTTGGATCAGCAGCTCGGCCATGGAAACCCATTCCATGAAGCTCTCTACACACAGTTTGGAGGTCTTTAGCTATTGACTCTGCAGACAGTTGGCGATTTCTGCGCATTGTGCATTTCAGCATGCGCTGACCCCGCTCTGTCATTTTACGTGGCCTACCACTTCATGGCTGAGTTGCTGTTGTTCTCAGTTACTTCCAATTTGTTATAATACCACTAACAGTTGACCGTGGAATATATAGTAGCAAGGATATTCGTGGATGGACTTATTGCACAGAAGGCAACCTATCACTGTATCACATTTTAATTCACTGAGCTCCTGAGAGCTACCCATTCTTTCACAATTGTTTTTAGAAGCAGTCTGCATACCTAGGTGCTTGATTTTATACACCTGAGGCCATGGGGGTGATGGAACACCTGAATCCAATGATTTGGAGGGGTGTCCCAATCTTTTGGCATTATATAGAACTGTTGATCTTGCCAAAAATCCAGTGAGCTTCTAACTTCCTGTAATGAACTGCCTATGCAGCACTGAAATTCCAAACGGTTATAAACCTTACTTTAGTTCTTCTCTGCTGGACTAGCACTAACAGAACTCCTCCGCATGTTCAAAGGATGAGGAAAAGCGAAGAAAGAAGATTGTGACTTTGCTTATACAAGAATTGGGTGATAACCCCTTGCTCCAGAAGGCCTGCTAAACTATGTGGTGACAAAGGAAGACTAGAAGACATGAGATGAGGAAGGGGTTGGGAGCAGAACTCTAGTTTGTAGGCCATTGCAACTGTCTCCTTTAGCATCGGAGATGCTGTCTGGCCAAGCGTCTGCAAAGACTGACAACTCTCCCCCTCCACCCCCCCCCCCCCCCCCCCACACCACCCACACACACACACACACACAACAATCCTTTTGGAACATAGGGGTGCCCCTTTATACCAAAGAGGACTTGTCTACAGGTTTTGAGGATTAGGAGGCTCAAGGCCTGCGATGAAAATGGGCTTCTGCCATGGGTTTAATCTTGGGGGAGGGGGGTGATTTTACCTGGTTTGAGGTCTAGGCATCCTATGCTGGGGTAGATGAAAACGCTTACATTCTGGCAAAGAGGAAGCCCTAGGGAGATGCTGCCTATATAATCTCGTGTCAAAGAAGACTCAGAGCAATGTAAAAACTGAAGCAGGGACAATGTTTCAGGCTGTTGGTGTCAGGTCCTTGACAGGAACCCTGCTGGCCACCATGAAAATATGAGTGGATTGCAGGCCACAAATGTTCAATACAGTAGGAATACTCCTTTTGTGTTTGCGATCCAACATGTTGAACTGCAAGCAGAGACAACTTAGCTGTGATACAAGGTAAAACCTTAAGTACTCACAAACTGATTGCTGGGAATGGCTTAATGGCTGAAAGTGACCAGTTCACAAGATAACTGTAGGCAGCAGAAAGGACTGGAGTGAAACTTACTAAAACTGGAGCAAACAGAATATAGAGTAATGCAGGCCATAGATGGGGAGAAAAACTGCAGATTTTTCTTTTAAAAAATGAAAAATCGGTTGTTCAAGTGGCCGACGTTACCATCAATGGTAAAAAAAAAAAAAAAAAAAAAAAAAAATCGGCCGATTTTCTACCCGTCTAGAGCCGGCAAAAGTGTCCCTGCAGAGAGCTCTGCTATTTCTTTGACAGTTCTCTGACAGTTCCTTGACATTTATAGAAGTTGCAACAATGTATCTATTTGTTTCCATTTAGGATACAGATGTTTTTATTCGGAAACAAATAGATACAATGTTTCAACCGCTGTAAATGTCAAGGAACTGTCAGAGAACTGTCAGAAATAGCGGAGCTCTCTGCAGAGACACTTTATGCTGGACTGGAATTCTTCTTCTTCATCCTCATCCTCTTCTTCTTCATCCTCATCCTCCTCCTCATCCTCTTTTCTTCTTCATCCTCCTCATCCTCTTTTCTTCTTCATCCTCCTCATCCTCTTTTCTTCTTCATCCTCCTCATCCTCTTTTCTTCTTCATCCTCATCCTCTTCCTCATCCTCTTCATCATCCTCATCCTCTTCATCTTCATCCTCTTCATCTTCATCCTCTTCATCTTCATCCTCTTCATCTTCATCCTCTTCATCTTCATCCTCTTCATCTTCATCCTCTTCATCTTCATCACCCTCATCCTCTTCTTCATCATCCTCTTCCTCTTCTTCATCCTCTTCCTCTTCTTCATCCTCATCCTCCTCATCCTCTTCTTCTTCCTCTTCTTCATCCTCTTCTTCTTCCTCATCCTCATCCTCTTCCTCATCCTCTTCTTCTTCCTCATCCTCATCCTCTTCTTCTTCATCCTCATCCTCTTCTTCTTCGTCTTCCTCTTCTTCTTTTTCTTCTTTTTGTCTTCCTCTTGCAGGTCACTGCTCATGCGCAGATTTTTTATCGGTAAAAAAAATCGGCCGATTTGCCCACTAATTGCCGCGAAAATCGGCCGATCGGCAAAATCGGCCGATTTTTTTCCCAACTTTACCGAAAAACAAAAACGGCCAAAATACCGAAAAACAGCCGACCAAATCGCCCACTAACGATCCGAAAATCGGCCGATTTTATTTTCGGAAAAATCGGCCGATTTTCGATCCGTCTATGGCCTGCATAACTGTGCATAGTTACCAATCAGCTTTTAAACTCAGCTTGTTCAATTAGGCTTTGAAAGTGAAAGCTAGCAGCTACTTGGTTGCCATGCACAACTGCTCGAGATTCTGGCTGCTCCAGGCTTGAAAAACTCTCCTCTGTGTGTCTCTTGTGATTAGGAGCAGTGGCAGGAAGGCACTACTTCTGTTTCAATATTTGTATTAAGAAAGTTTTATTTTAAGAATACAAGCAGCTCAAGATGCGCCCACGCAGGGGCAGAGCAGAACATAAACAGATACATCCAGTTGACTTGCATTAGTCAAATAACGAAGGAGGGACGGCAAAAAGCGAAACCAAATATTAGCAGCAGTAATTCAACAAAAAAAAAAAAAAAAAAAAGAAATCAGAAAGAAAACATGAAGGGAAAAGAAACTAGAAGAATCACGGATCCAGGGCTAGCACAGGCAGTGATTGTAAGAGGCCATAACTAGTAAGAGGCAGGGATGGCAAGGAATAACGTATCCAAGGTTCCCAAACCTTAAGAAATCTCGGATGAGAATCATGAAGAATGCTAGACATCTCTTCATTGAACAACATAGCATTCAACCGGGTCTTCACCCACTGGAAGACAACCAAAGGGGTTCTCCAAGCGTGAGCTATTTGGCCGTTTGGCCGAAATAAATAGGTAGAATGCCAATTTCTGCTGAGCCCTTGACAGTCCCAAAATTGGACAATGCAGGAGGGCCACCCTTGCATCCCTACGGATCGTAATATGAATAGCGTTTGTAGCAAACCAAAAACCCTAGACCAGAAGCCTATCAATCGCGGGCACGACCACCAGATGTGCAAGACGCCCCCGCGTAGACCACAGTTCCGGAAACACCTATCCCCACCAGTCGGATTAAAGCGAGCAGTCCGAGCCGGGACCCTGTACTACTGCAGGAGAACTTTGTAGGCTGCCTCAAGAGTGACTGTATTGAATGAACATTTCGCCACCATCCCCCAGGCCCTACGCCAATCCTCCGCCGCAATCGAGACACCCAGATCTTGCTCCCATTGAGAGACATAAGACAGGTGGGTGAGGAGGACCTACTTTTAAGGAGACAAAATTACAGAAATGAGACCAGGAGACCCTGGGGAATGCTGACAAACGTGCGTTTTGCGGTAAGGGTATGGAAGGTACTACTTAAAGCTAAATTTATACATCTTAACAGTTTCTGGGAAAACCAGCAGAAAAAAATAGTAAATATAACAGCTGATGCTTGGCCCCCTTACAGCCTATACATTGAGCTTTCAGAAACTGGGGCACACCAGAGACTGTACCACAGCTCTCAACCTGAATAGCACTCTGCAGCTAACCAAGACAATACACCAATATTGAAAAAAGCACCACAAGCAGAGCCCAGTGTTCAAAGGTCACATTCTAGGTGGACCCCAAAATCACCCAAGTACAACAGCAGGGTCCGGGTAAGATCCCCAAAGCAGCTTGTAGATGAAGTCTTAATTGGAGAAAAAAAAAAAAATCTTGGGGAAAAAAAAAAAAAAAAAAAAAAAAAAAAAAAAAAAAAAAAGCTAGTAACACATGGTTAAAGGCAAAAAACTTTTTTTTTTTTTGGATATGTGAGAGATGGATTAGAACACTTGTCAGTTGTTATTGCTGCCTGCGTTCCCGTTAGGGAGATTCACCCTTTTTATTTGTCCTGTTTGCTAGGGATGCACAGATACCGGTGAGTACGAGTATCGATACTTTTGGTGAAGTACTAGCCGATACGAATTACCGATACTTTGCGTTAATGGACTCAAACTCCACCACAAAGAATAGCATGCGATTTGAACAGGAATGAGATTCCTGTCCAAATCGCATGCAGTTTCCCCACTGCTCCTGTGTGAACCCAGGTTTGTCATAGCCCGAGTTCACGCAGGAACGGTGTGGGAAACCTCCCTGAATGCATCACATGCTGAGTCTTGGTGGTAAGAGCAGAGAAAGCGAGAGGGATTTGAAATCCCCACCGCTTTCTTTCCTCTCCTTGCAGCGATGACTGTTTGGGCTATCATGTTGAATAAGCTTACATTTATTCACAGCAAAGATTGTAGTTTTGAGTTTATGAAATTACATTTCCTTGCAATTAAAGTGATGCACTTGATTTTGATCATCACTTGCAATAATGGGGCCATTTCTGATCTCCTGGCTAATAACTTCTTTGCAGTTAGCATATCATTATATGGACATGTAACTATACTTTAGTAGTGGTAGTAGGTGAGTTCATGACCTAGAATCTCTCTGTAAAAACAATCCACAAAAGAGAGCATAAAAAGGAAACAAATACAATTTAGAGAGAATGTTGCAGTCAAAAGCTACTCCTACCGTAGCCATCCTTTACGTATGAAAAACTAAACCAATTAATACTTTTAGGTAAAAGGTATTATAGTGAGCGCTACTTAAATGGAAAGGTATATAAATATGTATATACAACATAAATGATGAGCAGCTGATACACCGAAAAGGTAACCTAAACAAAAACCTCAATGAAACATATATATCACATAGAATGGTGCAGTGCTAAATAATAAAACACAGTTTATACACACAATATATTAATGTGAGTTTGTGTGAATTTGTACACATGCGTGATATCACCCCAATGGTGATCTGTGAATTCAAAAAGTTCAATATAATAGTGCGGATCGCGGAGAGATCCTAATTCAGGTGAGTGGACGTCCTGATCCAAGGTGTGATGATAAGTGTGAACCACACAAATAGGTGAAATACGCACTCACCAGATGTGCGTTTAACATACGCAATATGTGATCCTGCATCACCAGGCCATAAAACGATCATCAGATCCCAGATCAGATTGCCCCCAGATCCCCATCCCGGTTCCACAGAAGTAAGATCATCAGAACTGCTACCAGGTATCACCACCAAGGGTCCAGAATCCTCCAGATGGGCACTGCGAATGATAGCACTCACACAGAGTGCCCAATGAGAGACCTCATAGCGTGATACTGCTTCAGATATCTTTATTCAGGGTTGGTAGGTGTGGGGTACATATAAAAAGATTTTAGATAAAAAGTTTACTGACCAAACGTTTTCCAGGTGTCCACCAACGGTGGTGAGGTGTCCTGCTGCTGCTGCCCTCTGACGCGTTTCGTGCGATGCACGTACTCATAGGGTTCAAGGCCAGCAACCAGGACATCTGTTTAGCTGCTATTTATATGTGTAAATGGCACTTTAGCTTAATGCGCTCGCCATTTTGTCGACTATCGGCGCATGCGCAGAACGTCGGCATCGTCTTTCCAAGCTACTGCGCATGCGCGAACGATCGGCGCCATTTTGTCGTGGATCGCAGTGCGATCCACTTCCTGCTACAAATTCACACAAACTCACATTAATATATTGTGTGTATAAACTGTGTTTTATTATTTAGCGCTGCACCATTCTATGTGATATAAATTAATACTTTTACCATCTACAGTCCAGTACGTGACCATTGCTGAATTGCTTAAAGTGTATCTAAACTCCAAAACAAAAATGATTTTACAGCTTACTAATTCTTAGATGTTGTGGTTGCATAGGTTTTTCTTACATTTTCCCCCCTTATTTTCACTTGTTGATCAAGCCAGTAAATCTGTTATTTTTCAGAGATTTTTAGGTACCATAATTTGCCGCCATCCCACGGCATCTGCAATTTTAAAGCATGACATGTTTGGCATCTATTTACGAGTAACATCATCTTTTATATGTTACCATAATGTAGTGTTTGTGTACGCAAGTACTGTATGACATAATTGCAACACCCACCATTTTATTCTCTAGGGCCTTTGCAAAAAAAAAGTCACACACACTCTCAAGTATATATATATATATATTATATATATATAATATAATAAAAAGTTTGGGGGTTCCAAGTAATTTTCTAGCAAAAACAAAACGTCGATTTTTACTTATAAGTGAGAATGTGAGAAGTGTCAGAATTTCACCCTGTACTGAAGTGGTTAAATGTCAGTCAAATTGATCTAAAAAGGTGCAAGATACAAAGATTGCTTTTGGGTTTAAATACCGCTTTCATGTATCCATGTACAGCTCAACTGATTCCCCCATCTACCCTAACAGCATTTTGAGTTGAGTTGCACTTTAAAACTTGCTTTGCTAATACAAAAAGTATCAAACTACATTCTTATTATGCATTTGAGCTGCTGAACACTGTTTTTGTGTGTTTTAACCCCTCCAAGACCGACAGCAAAACAAACCTGAATGCCCAGACCCAATTTTGCAATTCTGACGTGTTATTAAAACTATACTACTATTTTTATTATTATACAGGATTTATATAGCGCCAACAGTTTGCTCAGCGCTTTACAATAGAATATTAATGTATAATAATGTATAATATACATTTTTGTTATCAAAGGAAACCTGGCACAAAATAATAAAATATATATAGATTTATATTTTTATTTAGCTGAATATTTTTTGCTATTATAACTTAACACCAAAAAACACATCTGTGTGAGTTATTTGTACCCGTAGTAGGGCCCAGAAACTATAGTATGCATTTTGCTTTTTTGTATCCTACCTAAAACACACTGACACAGATTTTAAAAAAATGTCTTTTTTAAATCTCTGCCTAAAATATACTGCCCTTGACCATTACATTAACCTTAACACCAACTCTGACAACGACCTAGATAAAACCTTGGTCTAGCTATGTTTTTCTTTATTTTAACACACTTTTGTTTACATCTTTCTCTCCTGCATGGAGAGAAAGATACAGTGCATCTTTCTCTCCATGCAGAAGAGAAAAAAAAACCCCATGAGTAGGCTGCACAGTGGCTGATCACAGTGTTAGCCAATCAGAGGCTATCACAGCAATTAGGTGAATGGGAACCGGAAGTCCTGATTCCTGATCATCCGTACAAGACCTGAGGAGAAAGTGAAAGAACACATATGTGGCTACCAGGTTTAAAGCCCACCTCCTGGGCGATGCATATGTGTGTTACTGTGTCATTGTAGGGTTAACTTATACTACAAGAAACATTTTAAATTGTGCAGCAAACGACAACTCTGCCTAAAACCGCAATGCGGTCCTGTAGACTGTCCTGGAGCTATTTATTTAATCCAGCAAGGCTGGAGGATTTAACACTAACATTTTAATATTTCTCTGTAGGCATGTAGTGTGGTTATCTCAAAGCAGAAAACATAATCCTGGACTTCCAAGAGGTGGTAATATAAATGTAAGTACCTTTCGCACAGGTGGTTTAGTGATTATATCTTCAAAAGCATCCTCTGGTTTTAGCGTTTGAAAGTTTTCATGTAAAATTCCTATCTTCTTCTCATTATCCCATCCTGCAGGACTGGAACAAAGGTGAAAATCAACAGACATCCAATATCATCTCAAAGTAATTAAAATAAACTAAGCATACTTGTTCACATTTTCTGCAATCATTTTCAAACAATTCCCTAAGCTATCATAGAAAATTATCACACACACTAAAATATAGCTAAGTATATACAACCCCTGACAAAGTATGGAATCACCACTCCTGGAAAATGTTCATTCAATTGTTTAATTGTGTAGAAAAAAAAAAAAACTAAAATCACAGACATGCCTCAAAACGATTTAATTTAACATTCCAACCTTCTGGCTTTAAGAAACGCTTAAAAAAATTAAAGAGAAAAGAAAACTGTAATCAGTTGAAACTGATTGCAAATCAAGCACAGGAAAAATATGGAATCACTCAATTCTGATGAAAATATGGAATCATGGAGAAAAAAAAAACAAAAAAAAAAAAAAAAACACTAAAGTACACCACTATTACTTTGTTTAACCACCTATGGCTTTTATAACAGCTGGAATTCTCTGAGGCATGGATTTAACTAAATCGACAAACTTCATCAATCCAGCTCCAACTTTCTACATAGCAGTTGCCAGATCAGCTTTGCAGGTTGGAGCCTTGTCATGGAACATTTTCTTTCATTTCATTTCTTCAGGCAGGCATCTTTATACATTTCATTGGAACCACACCAAACAAAAGTTCCAGCATCATCACCCTGCCCAATGCAGATTTGTGATCCAGCACTAAATATCACTTTCATCCACAGTCCATGATTGCTTTTCTTTAGACCACTGTAACCTTGTTTTTTTCTGTTTAGGTGTTAATGATGGTTTTTGTTTGGCTTTTCTGTATGTAAATCCCATTATCTTTAGGTGATGTCTTACAGTTCCATCACAGACATTGACTCCAGTTTCTGCCCATTTGTTTTGTTGCGCATTTTCTGTTTTCAAGGCGTATTGCTATAAGTTTTCTACCTTGATGCTTTGATGTCTTCCTTGATCTACCAGTATGCTTCCCTTTTACCCCTTTTGATTTGTACTTGGTCTAGATTTTAGACACAGCTGACTACGAAACATTTTGTGACAATTTACCTTCTTGAAGAAGTTTTATAGTCCTCTCCTTTGTTTCAACATCTCTCGTGTTGGAGCCATGATTCATGTCAATCAGCTTGGTGCAACAGATCACCAAGGTGTGCAAGCTCTCTTTTTTAACAGCAGACTAATTAGCAAATGTAATCTGATGCAGTTTGTTTTAGAACTGCAAAGTACATGGTGATTCCATTATATTTTCGTCAGAATTGAGCGATTCCATAATCCCACTGCTTGATTTGCAAAAACAGTTGCAATTGACTACAGTTTTCTCTTTTTTATTTTTTGTAAGTGTTTTTATGAAAATAGTTTTGAGGGATGTCTGTGATTAGTTTTTTTTTTCTACACAATTAAACAAATTGAATGAACATTTTCCAAGAGTGGCGGTTCTATACTTTTTGCCAGGGGTTGTACGTATAACAAACCGAATGTTTGCACCACTATGACGTTTAGTTTTTCTTTTTTCCCCCCCCCCACTTAGCGGGAAATATTGCTTAAAAGAAAAGAAAAGGTGAATTGTGCACTAAAGGCCTATTACAACTTTAACCACGCTATACGAATTTTTCCAGAGTGACAAAAGCGCATGAAAAATAATTACCTTTAAATCTACCTGTGCGCATCTCTACCTTGTGTTTTAAAGGTGTACTGCATTTTTAAAAAGTACTGCTTGCAGCATCTTTGGTGCTCTGTTTGAAAAAAAAGTACCAAAAACACACCTTCTATTATAGAAACACACTAAATGTTAAAAATACAATATGTACTTTTGAAAAACTTATACTTTTGCAACAGTATGAACAGGCCCTAGTCAGTTTTCTGCAAACACAAACAGTGCTTTACCAAACAAAATCAATGTACTGTATATTTTGTACCTATGTAGGGATACCTAAAGTGTCTTATCACCATGTCCAAGTTGCCCCCCTTGATTACTGACATTTATGCATTACAGTGGTATAAAAAAAAGTGAAGGAGCATAATACCATGTGCCCCCCCTTCCCACTAAGCCGTGGCCCAGTTTCCAGCATTCTAAATCTGGCTATACATTACAACCTAAATGTAAAAGTATTTTTTAGATTCACAAAACAAATGTAAATGGTTTACATTAAAAAAAAAAAAAAAACACAACAAAAAAAACACATTTGTTTCGTATCCAATTAGGAAGGTTCCTGTACCACATAGATGTTGATATAGCTAAAGGAAAATGTACAGCCAGGCTGCAATGCATTAGTTCAGCTTCAGGTAGATATCCCTTTGTCTATGGCCAGGTTTGGGCTACTTAATTATAGGCATGAGCATTCAACCATATCTCTAATATGACTGTCACTACATGCAGGCCTGAAAAGAGGAGCTCCAAAATCTCATGGTCAGAGCAGCTGTAAATACTTACATAAATACTGCATCCTTTTCTACAACCACAGCAGGCATATTGAAGGGAAATCCATATAAGTGCTGGACAATATACTTATATACAATGTCTATATTTTTGTTCTCTTTGATTGATGTGTAAATTAGTGCGGCGCCATCTTAAAAGTAACTAGTTAAGGAAAATATATGATCATCAGGCATACAAATTTTGCAGTAAAACAGGTATTTTCACAAAATGTAAAACTATTGCATCTCAAAATGGTTAATTTGCATTAGAGGATTGGGCAAACACCCGAAACAACGTAGCCAACATGCTAAGGCTGTGTCTAATGGGCCCTGAATGCAGAATCTGAGCATACAGCAACTATGCTCTGAATGCCCTCTCAGCTGAGGTCCCAAAGAGGAAAGCAATATAAGGTCAACCAAGCCAAAAGAATGCAACACCCAAGTTCAAAGGAAAGCCATGCTGGGCAGGACATATAGTCATTTTCTAAAAAAAAAAAAAAAAAAAGTGCATCATAAAACATGAATTACTCAAAACATGCATTAAAACGGCATCCACCTAGTACACCTTCCAGAATAATCTTTAAAAGGCAACTGGCAACAGATGGTGCCATTACAATCAGCAAACTTATCCTAAAAATGAACCTTCCCCTCTTTTAACACCTATGCTAAATAACCCGTGTAAGAAAGATGTATACCCTTACCCATTTTCAGGCTGCTCTGGTCTGGTCACATGATCCCCCGTGTCAGTTGCTGGCAACCATGCTCAAAAACCTGGGAGTGGTGGCATCACTCATAGTTTTCTATGGCCCATCTGTTGTCAGTGTTCCCTCTCCCCTGCAGCTGCTACTGGCTGATACAGGGGAGCTGGATCACATGACTGGACTCAAGCCGCCTGAAAATAGGTAAGTATATACATCTCTTACATAGGTTAGTCAGCATAGACGTTAGAAATGGGAAGAGAGCACTTTTAGGATTAGTTAGGTATAGCCTGCAATCCCACTTTAAGGAAAGCAATCAACGCATCTCTATTAGCAAATATAGATTTTATTTCTAGCCACCATGAGCAAAACGTCAAATAAATTATTTGGGAACCTTGCTGGGTACCTTCCTCAAGGTACAGACTCCTGACAGACAACGGATATTGGTTTCATGATAAAGTGTGCACACAGCTTTCTTTCAATTTTTGTACTCAAAACTTGAATTTGTTTACATAACAGCCATAAAAGGGACATTTTTTTTTTTTGTGTGATTCACATACAATCCGGGTGCAATGCAATTTCAGTCCATTCATTTTAAGACATTAAAACTGTACAGGACCGCACTACTACTGCATGCACTACTTTCTAAAGACACAGAAGAAATAGATCGCATTGTACTATTGTACCATGTATTCTGGTGCAGGCAAACTCACTGTCTGCGACTCGTGTTTGTGCTGTCAATAAGTTAACACTGCTATCTACTGTAGATCGCAACTGCAATGCGTTTTGAACGCAGTACGGGAAACACAGACAGAACACAGGTTTAACAGTTGTGATTATTGTTCACATTTAATGAAGAGTATAAAACTATCTGCCGTGTATAGTTACAGATACAAGTCTGCATTTCTTGCACGTATGAAGGATACACTGTAAACAAAACTTCCGGATATGGGACTGAATAAAGTCAAAGTGCTCATCTGTATAATCGTGTTCTTTTTCCAAAATACTGATGGCATCACACTGCAATACAAAAAACATTGAGAAACAAGCGAGGGAACTTAAAATAGGCCTGTATGACTATATTACAGTCTACTAAATATAAAAAGGTATTTAAAGCTGAACTCCAGACAAACAAAAAATATTAACAGGACACAATAAGTGCAGATGTTTGATCAAAAATACAAGCGACTGACACCACAAAAGAAAAAAAAAAAATAAAGCAAAAAGGCCCTCTGAAAATAAGAATACTTTTAATACTTACATTTTCAGGAAGCTATGTGTTAATTGAATACCAGCTGCTTGGGAGCAGCTGGTATTCAATATGTCTAGGTGTATCTGATACCCGTTCCCTGCTGGGCACTGTGCTTCCTCCTTCAGGCTTCCACATAATACTCTGACTGTACACTGTAAATTTCTGTCTGGGTTGAAGGGACCTCACTGCGCAAGACAACACAGCCAAGGATCTAAAGACTACAGTGCAGTGGATTTTTGACTTTGTCATGTTTCAATTATCTTAGTTCAGTAAGGAGGAATAGTTGCTGATCTTGAATCAAGGATGGTTCCAGCCTTTTGGGAAGAAATGGTGATGACGTAATTCTCAGGGAAGTACTGTAATCTTTTTGAGATGTAATACAAATCTGCAAGTGATACAGTTGATCTTTCCCCTATGTTTTATGTTATTAATTCTATACATAGGACAGAGTGAGATTTTAGAGCCTTCACAGCAGATAACCATCATGCTGCCATGTCAGGAAAAGGTACCAAGAAAATACTCAAATTATGTCAAGACATGGACCCGTGACTTGGCATCGCCCCCTCTCTTTCCTCATTGGCTTACTGGCTATAATTACCAGCAGCGGGAGCCAATGGCTCCTGCTTGCTGTCTCAGCCAATGAGGCAGAGGCCCAGGACAGCCAAGGCCTGTTGCGCACATCGCTGGATCGCGATGCAGCTCAGGCAAATATTGAGGGGGTTGGGGGCACTGCAGCACACAGAAGATTTTTTACCTTTATGCATAGAATGCATGAAGGTTAAAAAAAAACAAACCGTGAGCCTTAACAACCGCTTTAAAGTGGTATTAAACCTGAATCCAAGGATTTAACATATTGCAACTTACCAATCCTTAGGCCTGGTACACACTATCAGTTTATTTTTCATTCAACCCAGCGGGCTGAACGCAAAAAACTATCCAATGTTAGTACAGCGAACTCCCCACTGAGCTATTGTGTGCGGACCACAGGGGGCCTGCCTGCCCCTGTCCCTCATCAGAACACTCTGGTCAGCACTCACAGCCACTGGGTGCCAGTACTGATCGGATGCCAATCTGATGCTGGTTTTCCAGCATGCCCGTTCGACATGGGCCAAATCTCCGTCCATTATTCGGCCCGTGTGTACGGGGCTTTAGATGTGGTGGCCGCATTAATTTTTTTTTTTTGTTTTTCCCTCTGTTTTCACCTGGTAATCTGGCCAGTGACACACCTCCTGTATTAAGAGTGCTTATACTCTGGATGAAGGAGCAACAGAGACACCTTTGGACAGAATCATTGTTAATCTGGGGGAGGGGAGTGTTAGATACACTGATAACTTGAAGCCAAACTAACTGCTTTTTAAGCAGTTATAGCAACAGTTTTTTTTTTTTCCTTTTGGGATAAAGGTATTAAATAAATAAAAGCGGATTATTATAAGCATCCCTGTCAGTGGTAAAATGGTGTGTCCCACCCCCTAACTGTTACATCTGCAGGACTGCTTGTTCTGTTAAAAAACAAGAGACTTACTGGCTAGATCATCAGGTAAAACCAAGGGAAAGAAAATGAATGCAGCCATCACATTTATGAACTGGTAATCTGCAATATAATAAAATGTTAGCTTTTGGGTGTAATACCACTTTAATGTTTGCCAAAATCCTTGCAACATATACAGTGTAGTGCTCATGGAGGGGACCTTCTTTTACCTCAACAAACCTGGAGTGTAACTTTAATAGAATAATTACTGCAAACACACAGCAAAAGGAAAAAGACTGATGCCAAACATATTTGCTTGTTAGTAATAGAAAAACACAAATTGCAGGCAATGAGCTGAAATGGGTAATGCATAATAATAAAAAATAAAAAAAACAAAACAAAAAAACAAAAACTGACCTTTGTGCAAACTACTACTACAGGAATGCCAAGGTTATGCGTTAGGGTGTCTTCTCCCAAGGGCAGGATCACGCTGTCATCTTGATCCTCTTGCGAGGATGTAGCCCTCCTCTGCGGTGAGGCAGGAAATTCATCTCCAGGCTCTACATATTCTTGGAAATTTCTAACCACTGAACAAAAAACACAAGTAAAAGGATTCAAGCCAATCCAAAAGGTGACAAAAGTGAAAGTGAACTTATCGATGTCTTTCCAAGCCTGCATGAATACATTTCTGAGATATTACAATATGCTGTGAATACTATTTTACAAAAATTCTATCTTTTATATTAAATTGCCCTGCAAGGGAAGAGCTATTCTTTTCAGCAGCTTGCATCTCCTACCTCTCCTCAATTTCCAGCTCTGCAGCCTCCATCAGTGTCTTAGGCATTTGACAATTCCAGGAGTGTTGGATGCCTGAGTCGTCTGCCTCAAGAACACAGGACACATGGAGCACTGAAAAGGGGAGTAATAGAAGCTCTTTTCTTGCATGGCACCATCTTTTTAAATCTTTTTCACACTGACAGGGTGGCTTTAAAGGATAAGTTCACCCTTATAACATGTTAGACCCGTATTTAAGGTGTAACTTGTTACACCCATCTTTAAAGTGTAACATGTAACAATACCGCACCTGCCCACACCTCCCCGCACTAGCTGTCACTATTTAAAAACAGTGCAGCCATGCAGGGCTCTGGTCACACAGCCACGTCATTCATTCACAGGGTTTTGTGAATGAACTACAAGTACTGTCAGCACTGTGGCAGATGGCTTGTAAATCCTCAATGAACTACAATGGGGGTGGCAAGTGCTCTCATAGTTCACCAATTCCTCCTGCAGTTCAGTGTTAAAAAAAAAAAAAAAAAAAAAAAAAAAAAAAAAAAAAAATGTTTTAACCGCAAAAAGATGTGCATTATTTTTTTTGGTTTATAAAAAGGTGAACTTATCCTTTAAAAAGCATCAAGTTGCTTTGCCTAGGTTCCAACTGGGGAATGATGTCATCGTTCCACATCATGAAGAGTAGTATTTGTTTAGACTCTCTACCCCAGGGTTCACTCTGACTACAACACTAAACCTTTGTAGCCAGACATGAGTGACTGTAGCAATAGGGGACTGGATTTGTGCAAGACGCCATGTGTACACACAGCCTAGAAAATACTACTGGACTAGTACCAGGATTTAAAGGAATGTCTGATATAGGATAAACAATTTAACGGTGGATGAAGATAAAACTTGAAAAAATATATTGAACACTAAAAAGGGGCAAATTTATAAATGGAGAATGAATAACGCTTCCCACTCAGGGCTATATACTGCAAAAGTTACCACATACCGCAGCCTGCATTTTATTGCCCAAATATAAAAACACAGGGTGCAGAGAGGAGCCTGCAGTATGTCATGTTTAAGGGCTTGTTCACACTGTGCGGGCACCTGCGATTTTTGCCCTTGATAAAATGCAGGTCCCACTAGAGCACACAGAAATCAATTGTTTTTTATGTGCCACATTCACACCACACTGCCAGTGTGATGTACAGTGCAGAAAAATGCAGTACAATGGAAGATACTGCATGTCACCAGACAGCAAAATGACAGTTGAAAGCCGAAAAAAAAAAAAAAAAGCACCACATTGTGCTGAAACAGGCATCGCACTGCTCCCTGCCCTGATGACATTTTAGTGTGTGGCTTAGTGTGCACATAGCCTAATTCTCAGTTTGGGAGAAATGCCAGTCATATGATTTTGCTCTCCTTCCATTTTATTTTAAACTCATTCACTTTAAGAGCATTCTGCTGGCTTCTGGACTGCACACTAAGCACATGTGTAAAGCATGCTTCTATGGTTAATAAAATTAAATATTTGTATTTTTTTTTTTAAACTTTACATAGGTCACCCTGGTTCTTGGGAGATTTTGTCACCAGCAACTGGAACAGCTTCCACTGTTTTAGGTTAAATACCACTTGCTGAAATACACTGTACATTGTAAACTAAAATCTAGACAGAACTTGAAAAACCACACGATTCAATAAGGATTTTGCACTTCTGGCAGTGCAAATGTTTTCAAAAGCCTTGCTCAAAATTCTTTAGACCCATGTGACATTTTCATTTTAGTACTTCGCCACATACAGTGAAAGTGTAGAAAATAGTACTATTGTTTTGACAAATTCTATAAGAAATACTGCCATATTGCTGATAAGGAAAGTGGAGATACAGAAGAACTCTTTCATGCTGGAATAAATTGTGTCGCAGGAGTAGGTATTGTGTCACATTATTAAAGTATAACCTGTTTTTTTTTTTTAGTTTTAGATAGAGGGGAGATGAATTAGAACGCCTGTCAGTTTTTATTACTGTCTGTGTCCCCATTAGGGAGATTCACCCTCTCTATTTGTCCTGTTTACTAGGGTTGCACTGATACCAGTTATTTACCCACGAGTACTGACATTTCCGGTCAAGTACTTGCCGATACTGAGTACCGATACCTTTGAGGTGCAGAAACGACCTCTCCTGCGCTGTGATGAAGAAGGGCCGCCCTTCAAAAGGCGTCAGCTGTACTCTGAGTGTCTACCCCTATGATGAGACTCGCGCAGGCTCCATAATTCTTAAGTTCCTTGGAGGACTTGCATGCTTGATTTACTTTGCTGTTTGTGAGTAGCACTCTGTATTCAATAAAATTTTGGTTTACTGAAGTAATGCGCAAGGTTGGTGTGCTGTTTTGTTTCGCTTTACCTTTGAGGGGCAATCTGAGCCCATACAAAATGAATGGGCTCAAATTTTACTGCAAAGAATCACATGCGAATTGAACAGGACCTGCCAATGATGGAAAACCACAGCCGCTTGTGGTGTTCACAGGGCTGGAGAAGATGTATAGACGGTCTGCCCCCAAGCAGACATCCCTTCTGCGCTATACCCACATGTGCACTCCAAGCTGGTTTACAGGGGTCCTGGAACTTCCTACATCTCCCCCAGCCCTGTGAGCACCACAAGCAGCCGTGGTTTTCCATCATTGGCAGGTCCCACAGGACAAGGACACTTTGACCAAGCAGATGTGGATTTGACATGCGAGATATGTACTTTTAACATGTGAGTTGTTATAATGTTTATTTTTAATAAACGGTTTACCCATTGCAGCACTTTGGCACTTCCCTGTCTTTCTATACTGGGTTCACACAGGAGAGATGGGGGGAACCGCATGCGATTAAAGCAGGAATCACACCGCATTCCTGTTCAATTCGAATGCAATTCTTTGCAGTGCGATTTGAGCCCTTTCATTTTGTATGGGCTCAAATCGCACCACAAACTCATGTAAATACTCAGTGTCGGTGCAACCCTACTGTTTAACATTATCATTGAAAGTGAACGCAAAAGAAAATTCCAAATTTTGGGTTTGCCCCACAAAATTAATAGAGGGGGAAATCTTCCAATGGGGACACTAGTTCTAGTAACCTGGGGGTCCCCAAGAGATTCCCTTAATTTGCAGGGATTTCTTCTCACTTCCAGTTTGGTTATGGGACCACAAGAGAAGGGAAAACTCCCCAATGGGACAAAGATGTCAAAAATAAACCTTACAGGGGCTATAACCCTCCCTTACTCTATCCAAAATGGAAAGAAGGAGAGGGAGATCTGCGCTTGCCAATAGATGAATAGGTAGCACTAGAGATACAATGTTGCACTTTAGTATCACTTGCAATGAGTAAGTAACCACATGGTTTGCTAACTATCTTGTGTACGTAAAGAATGAAACCACCAGGGCAAAACAGTGCCTGTTGGTATAACACAGGGGTCTGCAACCTTTAAGACATAAAGAGCCACTTGGACCCGTTTCCGAGAGGGAAAAAAAGACTGGGAGCCGCAAAACCATTGCAACATTTAAAACAAATCCGACACTGCATATATTGCGAAAAGCGCTCTGGTCATGAAGGGGGTTTAAGGGCCCAGTAAGCAAAGGGTTAACCAGGGCCACAGTGTATCGTCATAATCACAATCATAGCCTTAGGTCAGTGGTGGGCAACCTTTTTTTTCAACTGAGCCAAATCTCGCCAAAACCACGATTGAAATTTATTTTGAGAGAAACATTTTTAAAACTGAAAATACATCCCCCATATAGTAATTCATCCCCCATAGTAATTCATCCCCCATATAGTAATTCATCCCCCCATAGTAATTCATCCCCCATATAGCAATTCATCCCCCCTATAGTATTTCATCCCCCCTATAGTATTTCATCCCCCCTATAGTATTTCATCCCCCCTATAGTAATTCATCCCCCCTATAGTAATTCATCCCCCATATAGTAATTATTTCATCCCCATATAGTAATTAATTCATCCCCCATATAGTAATTCATCCCCCATATAGTAATTCATCCCCCATATAGTAATTCATCCCCCCATCATCCCCCATAGTAATTCATCCCCCATATAGTAATTAATTCATCCCCCATATAGTAATTCATCCCCCATATAGTAATTCATCCCCCATATAGTAATACATCCCCCATATAGTAATACATCCCCCATAGTAATTCATCCCCCATAGTAATTCATCCCCCATATAGTATTTCATCCCCCATATAGTATTTCATCCCCCCTATAGTATTCATCCCCCATATAGTATTTCATCCCCCATATAGTATTTCATCCCCCCTATAGTAATTCATCCCCCATATAGCAATTCATCCCCCATATAGCAATTCATCCCCCATATAGTAATTCATCCCCCATATAGTAATTCATCCCCCATAGTAATTCATCCCCCATATAGTAATTCATCCCCCATATAGTAATTCATCCCCCCTATAGTAATTCATCCCCCCTGTGTCAATTCACTTACCTTTGCTCCGCGCGTTCCTCTAGCTGTGTTCCCGCGCCGTTCTGGTCTTCAGGGCGGACTGTGAGAGGAGAGGAGTTCATCACGCTGCCCCGCCTACATCCTGACAGCCAATGTTTGGAGGAGGGAGGGGAGCGGGCGCCCAGCACATAGAAGAGCTGCATGCATTAAAAGAGCCACGGCTTGCCGACCCTATTGCCTGTCACCTGGTGGGCAGTGTGCTCCGGAGCCGCAGGAAAGGTGAAAAAGAGCCGCATGCGGCTCCGGAGCCGCGGGTTGCCGACACCCGGTATAACAGATGAATCATCTATAGGAATAGGTGGTTCTCTCAGCAAGTTAAACAGGTTTGTATTTAGGGGTGTATACAGAAGTAGATCCAGCAGTGGATTCACCATGTCCAGCAGACCAAGCAACACCCTGGAATTATGCGAGTAAGCAGCTTTCTTCCTGGAAAGTTACTTAACACCCCAAACATTATATATTTTTTAAGCACAGGCCCAGAAGAATAAAATGCCTTTTGTTGCAATTTTTTGTTACACGATATTTGAACAGCGGTTTATCATAAGTAACTTTTTTGGAGAAAATACACTTTAATGAATGTTGGTGCACACAAACATTAGAATACCCAATTAGTGCACACAAACATTAGAATAACCATTTTAAATCGCCAAAATATAAAATACGATCCTATGCAAAGTAAGTAGACACTAACATGGCACGCTTTAAAACTGTGTACACCCACGGAACAGCGGCAAACTTCAGTACCTAAAAATATCCATAGGAGGTGCTTTAATAGCCTTTACAGGTTACCAGTTTAGAGTTACACAGGAGATCTGGTGCAAGAATTATGCTCTTACTCTTGACAATCACATAGATACCTCACATGCGTGGTGCAATCACAGTGCAATCGGGGACTTCAGACTGCCACCTGTAAAAGTGATCCAGCAGTTTTATAGCTACTTGGATCACTTTTACTTTGTAGGAAACCAGGTAATCTTAAAAATCATCTCTCGGACATTGCTGCAGCAATACTGAAGATATCACACTTCCCATCTAAGGAGATAAATAGATGTACAGTGGACAGTTAAAGCAGAAACAGTTTCCTTCTGTCATATCTGCTTCTTGATAAACCTCTAAAAGAGATTACCTACCTATTTAATTTGAGAGGACCACAACTGAATTTACAGCAATCTTCCAGGTAAATTATCTGTTATACCGCTAGACATTGTTGTTCTTCTGCAGTTTTGTTTTGTGCACACAAGATAGCTGAACCAAAAAAGTTTATTCAGCAAACCATGTGTTTAGTTAATCATTGCAAGAGATACTAAAGTGCAACATTGTTACCTTTTCCTCTACTAGCAACTGTATATCTCCAGTTGTTACTGTAAATGTTTGCATTTTCTTTTGGGCTAGGTCCATAAATCTGTGAAGGGGGAATGTGTGCAAAGTCATGTACGTTCCTATCCCAGAGAGAAATACGGTGCACTTTAACAGATGCTTGGGGTATCAATCATTCTTAAAAGGCACCACCACACATCAGCAAAGGCGGAATGGTTTCACACGTACCAAAAAACGTATGGTGCTGGCTCGGTGGAAAGTGATTTAATAATAAAAGTGTTGGGGACTTCTTTCCCCATGTTTGAATGGGCTGCCCTACATGCAGAATTCAACCACACAGGTCTGAAGGGAGACTTAAAAGAAGTGTGGGGTTAATTTGTTTTTTCCCCATTATACTTACCTAGGTGGATGAAGCATCGGTCCGATGCTTCATCTGTCCCCCGTTGGCTCTAAGGGTGAGAACTCAGTGATCACATGATCACGGAGTTCTCCTCTCCGCTCTGAGTAGAGAGCGGGACGTTCAGCCACAAATATTTTTTCCACGACTGTTGCAATGTTATGCAATTGCTCTGTGGATTCTGTTTGTCACTGGGGTGGTGAGATTTCTGTAAAATTATACTTACTTCCTATGTACTATAACAACTCTGTGGAAGGATTAATAAAAGCTTATGGTTACAAGAAAAAAAAAAACTGTCGTCACAAGCTGCACTATTCGTCAAACTACTGAGAGAGAGAATTCGAATGAGCATCTACAGCAGTCTTTATGAATTTGACATATAAGAGTTCACTTACTTTTCTCTTCCATCTCCTTCATGTCTTCAGGGGGGATTTTTATTTTGTCTATGTGCTCACGGACAACACTGGCCCACTTCTGAAGTGAATCCAAGGCCAACCAAGGCCGTGACATATCTACCACCAACATGACCAATGTGTCCCTAACACTACCAACATCCATGGCAAACTTCAGCAGGCCCTTGTGATAAAGATCACCATCCAAAATCCACACATTACATCTGGTTTGATCTACAAAAAGAGAATTTTAATTACTACATGTACACAGGGAACATATCAAAACAATATACTAAAAGACAAAAATGAAATCAGGGCACATGCATTAATAACATTATTACATTGTAAAATTAGAAGGGTTAACTTAACAGGGCGTATGTAGAACATTGTGAATCTGACATTCACTGCAGGTAAATCTTTCAGGTGCTTGTGTTTTAAAATGACAGTAGTTGATTTATCACCTATTCCATTGGGGATACTAGTTCTGATGACCTGTGGGTCCCCAAGGAATTCCCTTAATTTGCAGGGATTTCCATCACTTCCTGTTTGGCTATATGACAGGAAGTGAAGAGAAATCTCAGCAAAAGGACACAAATGGGAAAAAAATAAAAACCAGTAGGGTTTCTAACCCTCCCTTAATTTATCCAAAATGGAGGGGGAAAAAAAAAAAAAAAAAAAAAAAAAAAACAGTTTTGCCTATAGTTCTACCTTAACTTCACTGAACTAAAAGTGCTTTTTTTCCTTCCCAGATATTATGTAAAGTGTACTTGTTGATCTGCTTTCCCGCAGTGTAAAGTCCACTTCCTTTCTCGGGATGACAACAGTTTCTGCCACCTACTATATTTCTGAGAGCATTGTCACCCTCTGCAGAGCAATACTCTTGGAAGACTAAGAGCCAGCTTTGGCAACATGATGGCACTCAGTCTTTTTCTTCAGAATTACACAGTGTTGTCACTCTTGAGGAGAAGGCTTGCCCCACCCACCAGTTGTATCACACTCAGCCCTGCCCCTACCTCCTGTTGAATGACAGTAGTGATAAGGAGACCAGAAAGACGATCTCAGTGGTCATGTGATGGCTACTAAAACAAAACAAAATATAGACTCTTTGATGACATTAACATTTTACCCAATATCAACTGCTTCACATTAAAATTCTAACAGTCATTAATTCTCAGGGATAGTAGCTGATATGAATGATTTAAAGATCTCCGTTTTGTGTTCAGTTTCTACAGATAATTAGTTGGAAGTTTCATCGATATTCAGTTTTCTATGTTTTGTCCATTATTGATTATCATCTTTTCAGCTCTGCTTACCATCTCTGTCTTCATCATGGACGTTAATGTAAAGATATTCCATTCCTCTTCCTTTCTTGTACTCTTCGATTCCCTGCAGCTTTCCTATCAAACTTGTCTTGCCAGCTCCATCCTCACCTATAATCATTTGAAGATGACAATAAAGAAATAATAAAATTAACTACACATTTGAAAGCTCTATGTGTTTAAATTGTAATGATAATTTTTTTTACTTATTACAAGCATGCTTTAAAGTGGTACGGTAACTTGGAGGGAAAGAGAAGTTATATGTTACTGTTCCAAGGGAGGATTTAAAAATACTGGTCTGTACAATTAAGTACATTTCTTTTTGAGAGCATCGAGCAGCAATCACTGCAGTTAATCACCAGCACTGCGGGCAGCCACATATGGCTGTGGCCACCACTGACCTGTCATTGAAATGTACAGGGTTTGGCATCATAGCTACCTGCTCCAAAGGTGGCTGAAACAGTTGCGAAGATTCCTGCCGCTGTCATTCGCACAGGCACTTGCTGCCCATGCTAATGTATCCCTAAAATATAAATTTCGCCTCTGGAACATAGTACATGTTCCACCCATTTTAGGGGTCTTCTCCTGCACACCCACTGTCACAATTTAAAAGTAACAAGGTAGTGCGGGGCTCTGCCCACATGGCCGCATCATTCCTTCACAGTTTTAGTGGCTGACTGCTTGCAGTTCTCAATGAACTGTGAGGGGGCTGGTGAGCGCTCTCGTAGTCCATTGATTCTTCCTGCTCTCAGGGACCATCAAGCTGTATGAGGTACAGGCAGACAGATATGCTGAGAGTCTGCATGAGCCTGGGATTGCAATGGCTCTGCTGTACATTGAAGGATAAGTTTACCTTTTGAAAAAAAAAAAAAATAAATGCACTTTTTTTGCAGAACGCAAGTGCAGTGCTCTACAGGCTCCTTAGGAGAAAAAAACAAAAAAAACACATTTTTTAACCACAAAAAAAAAAAAAAAAAAAGTGCATTTATTATTTTCTTTCCAAAGGTGAACTTATTTCAAATTGAGAAGTATAGCCAAAGCTTTTTAAGCTACACTTCTCCTATGGAGCACAGGAGTTCAGTTTGCTCTGCACTCCTGTGATCAGTTTTCAGCCAACAGCGGGCTAAATCCCACAGCTAATGTCATAGGGGGTTGTAATTGACAATTACAACCCCCTGATGAAGCCACGTGACCTATGGCGTAATGCGTAGGGGTGGGGCTACGACATCACTCCGCACCAGAGAGCATACGGCGAGTATACACGCTGTGCGGGACACACACAGGCAAAGGATTTTTTAATATCAAAAAGCGCTTTTTAATTTATTCAATGTGAGTGTTATATACTGAGCATTTAAATAAAGGCAAGTCATATAAGGATAAAGCACCATGTCAACATTTTCTTTTTTGCTTCATGACACTGAGGAACATCTGAGAGGAGTGAGCAGGGGATCATGAGCAGCTGAAGGAGGGAGAGATCCCTGCAGGGATAACGAGTGTATAAGGAGAGAAGCATTGTGAAGTACATAGGAGGTATCCAACATCCATTCCATGCTGCAGCAAATTCTAGCAGGTTCCATGTATGTGAAGAAAAAGTGTATTAAGCTTGTGAGGAGGTGAGTGCACCTCCTTTATTGATTTAAGAGTTCACGAAAAGTCACAATTTGTGTGTTTGAATCACGTCATCACAAATTCCTTTTTTTGGACTATTATTTGATTAATGGGACTGTTTTTTTTTTCATTTTATTTGATCACATCACATTTAACTTGATATTCATTTATTTATATATGGTATATTGTTTGTTTTTCATGGATATATAATTTGAAGTCACTAATTTATAAGTTTGTTAGAGATTGGGAGCGCAATATTTTTTAGTTATATGGTCTTTTTTACACAGTTTGAGTATGTGATAAAGTTAGCGATCCAGAGGAATATTTTAGTGGCTCGCAAGTTACACACACATTTTTTGTTCTTGCACAGCTGTCTTTGTGGTCTGTGATACAGAAGATGTTGAAGTCAAACAAGTATGCAGGAAGCAAGGTCACAACTCCTAGCTAGTATACTTGCTCTGCATCAGCAACTCAGAGTACTGAAATCCATGAATCAGTATGACAACCAGAAAACAAGCGTCATCAGAAGCCTTCTCAGACATCCATTACTAAATGTATAATGGAAAAAACTACCCATCTTTAGGTCCACATTAAAAAGATGTAAAGAAAAAAAAACAAAAAAAGATTTTTTTTTTTTTTTCTTTTTTAAAAACTTACCAAGCACCAGCACATTCTTTCCAGAGGGTAACTTTGAACGAGACCTAGTGGAAACCTCACTCAGTATGGAGGACCTATATAAATACAAAAAACGTATTAGCAGGGTAATGTGATTCTTACATGTAATACCTTGCAGATATTCCCAAAGTGAATGTAAGGATCCACATCACTAGCATCAGATACATTTTTCATGTATGCCTACTAAGCAATGTATGGGTGTACACGTGTGTTGACTATAAAGAACAAAGCAATGCTCATTAAAGAAGCAATAGCATTTATGATGTGTTTTTTGAAGCATTGTAAAAAGCATCAAGAATGCTTGTTAACCACTTCTGCGTCGCCTTATAGCAGAAATACTGCTACAGGGTGGCACGGGGCAAAATCACATATACATACATATATACAGTGGGGATCGAAAGTTTGGGCACCCCAGCTAAAAATTTGTATTAATGTGCATAGAGAAGCCAAGGAAAGATGGAAAAATCTCCAAAAGGCATCAAATTACAGATTAGACATTCTTATAATATGTCAACAAAAGTTAGATTTTATTTCCATCATTTACACTTTCAAAATAACAGAAAATAAAAAAATGGCGTCTGCAAAAGTTTGGGCATCCTGCAGAATTTATAGCATGCACTGCCCCCTTTGCCAAGCTGAGACCTGCCAGTGTCATGGATTGTTCTCAATCATCGTCTGGGAAGACCAGGTTATGTCAGTCTCAAAGGTTTTAAATGCCCAGACTCATCTGACCTTGCCCCAACAATCAGCACCATGGGTTCTTCTAAGCAGTTGTCTAGAAAACTGAAACTGAAAATAGTTGACGCTCACAAAGCTGGAGAAGGCTATAAGAAGATAGCAAAGCGTTATCAGATGTCAATATCCTCTGTTCGGAGTGTAATTAAGAAATGGCAGTCATCAGGAACAGTGGAAGTTAAACAAGATCTGGAAGACCAAGAAAAATATCAGACAGAACAGCTCGCGCAGGATTGTGAGAAAAACAATTCAAAACCCACGTTTAACTGCACAATCCCTCCAGAAAGATCTGGCAGACACTGGAGTTGTGGTACACTATTCCACTATAAAGAGATACTTGTACAAATATGGTCTTCATGGAAGAGTCATCAGAAGAAAACCTCTTCTACGTCCTCACCACAAAAATCATCCTTTGAACTTTGCAAATGAACATATAGACAAGCCTGATGCATTTTGGAAACATGTTTTGTGGAACGATGAGGTTAAAATTGAACGTTTTGGCCGGAATGAGCATAGGTATGTTTGGAGAAGAAGGGGCACAGAATTTAATAAAAAGAACCTCTGTCCAACTGTTAAGCATGGGGTTGGATCAATCATGCTTTGGGGTTGTGTTGCAGCCAGGTGCACAGGGAACATCTCACTAGTAGAAGGAAAAATGGATTCAATAAAATTTCAGCAAATTTTGGATGGTAACTTGATGCCATCTGTGAAAAAGCTGAAGTTAAAGAGAGGATGGCTTCTACAAATGGATAATGATCCTAAACACACCTCCAAATCCATGGGGGATTACATCAAGAGGCATAAACTGAAGGTTTTGCCATGGCCTTCACAATCTCCTGACCTCAACATAATTGAAAATCTATGGATAGACCTTAAAAGAGCAGTGCGTGACAGACAGCCCAGAAATCTCAAAGAACTGGAAGACTTTTGTGAGGAAGAATGGGCAAAGATACCTCAAACAAGAATTGAAAGACTCTTGGCTGGCTACAAAAAGCGTTTACAAGCTGTGATACTTGCCAAAGGGGGCAGTACAAGATATTAACTCTGCAGGGTGCCCAAACTTTTGCAGACGCCATTTTTTTGTTTTCTGTTATTTTGAAAGTGTAAATGATGGAAATAAAATCTAACTTTTGTTGACATATTATAAGAATGTCTAATCTGTAATTTGATGCCTTTTGGAGATTTTTTTCCATCTTTCCTTGGCTTCTTTATGCACATTAATACAAATTTTTTAGCTGGGGTGCCCAAACTTTTGATCCCCACTGTGTATATATATATATATATATATATATACATACATACACATATACATATACATACACATATACACACACACACGATTTTGCAGTTTTCGGGTAGGGGGCACGCACATGCCCTACCCGCACCGCCATTCGTGGCCTCGGCTGTCAATCACCGGGTCCCGGCCGATGATTTCTCGCCGGCACCCGCTGATCACCGAGTATATCCAACGGGGGAGAGACCTGTATATAAACAACACAGATTTCTCCCATTAGCTAATGCACACTGCTTTGTATGCAGAGCCATACAAAGCAGTGTGCTTACAGTGGAACGCACTCACACAGCACACAGTACAAAGTTAACCCTTTAATATCCCCACATGTTAACCCCTTCCTGCCCAGTGTCAGTGATTTTTTTTTTTTTTTAGCACCGATCACTGTATTGGTGTCACTGGAGATGTCAGTGACACAAAGTCAGTTCCCCCCCCAGTGTCAGAATGCCCACAGCAGTCCTGCTATAAGTAGCTGATCGCCACCATTACTAAAAAAAAAAAAAAAAAAAAATTCCAGTATATATGCCACCATTTGTAAGTGCTATAACTTTCACATAAACCAAATAATTTACATGTATTGGGATTTTTTTTTTTTTAGCAAAGACGTAGCAGAATACATTTTGGCCTAAATTTATGACAAAATTAAATTTTTTACTGGACATGTTTGATACCAAAACATCAAAAATATTTTTTTTTCTCAAAATTGTCGGTCTTATTTTGTTTATAGCGTAAAAAAAACATAAAAAAAAAAAAAAAAAAAAAAAAAAACCACACAGGTGATCAAATACAACTGAAAGAAAGCTCTATTTGTGGGGGGGGGGGGGGGGGGGGAGGACATAAATTTAATTTGGGTGCAGCATTGCATGGCCACGCAATTGTCAGTTAAAGTAACGCAGCGCTGTAACGCAAAATATTGCCTGGTCGGGAAGGGGGGAAAATAATCAGGAGGGCAATTGGTTAAATGCCCATGAAAGTGTTTTTCTAGGGAGAAGTGCTTAAAGTGATACCAAACACATAATGTTTAATTTACATTACCCCTTCTCTTTCTGTATGGATGATGGCATTATAATTATTTTTTAAAAAACATCCAAGTACCTCTTTACTAATCCATATACACCTGTCACATGACTCAGATCTCAGAATAAAAACCTCACTGAAAATGGAACATATGCACTAGCTGTCAACACTGCTCTGCAAGATCCCCGACTGCATTGGGGACAAGAAACAGGAAGGGGAGACAGAGAACAGAAGGAAGGATCAACCAGGTTTTTTTTTTTTTTCCAGAATGCAAAACACAAATCCCCCATGAACAATATGAACAGCATATAATACAGCATTTACTGATAGTTTTTAATGATGTGGGTTTAGTGACACTTTAACCACTTGCCTACCAGGCACTTATACCCCTTTCCAGCCCAGGCCAATTTTCAGCTTTTAACGCGGTCACACTTTGAAAGACAATTTCACAGTCATGCAACACTGTACCCATATGAAATTGTTATTTGTTTTCACACAAACAGAGCTTTCTTTTGGTAGGATTTAATCGAGCAAAAAATTTGAAAAGAAAAAAAGTTTCTATTATAACATTTTGCAAGCAGGTAATTTTTCTCCTTCACTGATGTGCGTTGATGAGGCTGCACTTATAGGCGGCACGGATAGGCAGCACTGCTGGGCACTGATTGGTGGCACTACTAGGCACAGATGGGCAGCACTGATCATCAGAGCCCTGATGATCGGTGCCAATCCGTCCTCCGACAATAACCGGTTATCGGCAGTACTTTCCTAACGTGGCAACTGCATCTACTGGTGACCTGTCATTGGACACAGCTGATCACGTGGTAAAAGGCCATTGTGATTAGCCTTTTCCACATCACGTGATCAGCTGTGTCCGTAGGGTGCGTTCTGGGAGGACGTCATACGACACCCTCCCAGGACTGGACAACCGCGCTGTAGCCATCATGCAGCTATAGCGCGCGGTTGGCAAGTGGTTAAAGAGGAAGTGATGTAATGGCAATTATCTGCTTTGAGGTATGGTTAGGTTGTTGTGTAATAACAGAGATTTTTGTAAATTTTCTGCAAAATGCGCTCTTGAGCCAGCACGGCTTACAACTAAATCCCTGCAAGACTTTACCCTCTACAAATCCGCCCTTCTCAAATACAACACTGTCCTCCACGCTGCTATACTACAACACTCATCAAACCCTCTCATCCAATCCTCGTCACCTCTTTTCTACCCTTAATTTCTTACTCCACCCCCCGTTCTTTTTTAAGGGCCTTTTAGCCCAATTGTATTTAAAGGAAAGTTCCATACAATATGTTTCCAACGCAAGGGTATCCACCATCAATACAAATTAAACAAATATTCAGCCTCCTGGCTCTCTCAGGTATACAGCCCCTTGCTCCTCTGGCTCCCACCACTCCTAGGTGGAGCCCTCCTGACTCCTGGGCAATGACCTACTGTCTGCCAGGGTGGAGCCCAGAACCTTAGTCGGGTTATTATTTAAAACCCTGTACACACATGTACAATTAGTGTGCTGGGGGTTAAGAAAATATGGACGCAGGATTGGAGATTTCATCCCTCCCAGATCACTTTGAAATCTCCAGGCTCCAGGTCCCAAAACAGACATTACGAACAAATGAGGAAACTGAAAAGCCAGTTTCCTCTACATTAAATAAACCCTCTGGTGCCCCTCAACCTGTTTAGTTGAGAATCCTGGGATACAGGGTGGATTTGATTTAAATCAAACTGATTTAAATCACGATTTAAATCACTAGTCAGTAAGGCTTGATTTAAATCATAGTTTTCTACATAGACTAATTCTTGCTGGTATAACTTTAATATGCAACTAGATGAAGATTTTTAGAATAACTTTTCATATTCGTTTTTTTATCCCCACTTTAATAGGTTAATCATTCATATTTGGACAACTTTTCTGTTGTACTTAGGAAGGAGAAAAATAATCATTACCTTAATAACAATTTAAACAGATTTATTCAACTGAAACAATAACATTACAGCATATGTTATTT